CAGTCGTCCATGGCCAATGCTAGCCTCACCGGAATCCATCGTAGAAAAGAAAGCTGAAAGTGCTTGTCGAGCTCGAAAACAAGAGCGTGAAGATGGGGAGGGGACTTGCGATATCGCTGTCGCGGGAAAGACTGACACGATAAGTGCAAGTGCGGCGGCTTTCATCAGTGGACTTGAAGAAAGTAACGGCGAAAAGGACAGCCCCCCAGCGCGAGCGTTGCAGTAGGAGCAAGTCGCTATTCGAGAGCCATTCGCGAGGACCAAGTGGAAATTTGAAAGCCATGCATAAGCAGCAACAGCACGGTCGGAGAAACAGTGCTCGTTGCGGCTATTCGCCACTCGTCCTTCATCATTGTCCGGTACTATGTAGCGATCCGCGTAGAGCTCAAGACGAATGATAGAAGTCTAGGGCTGACGACAAGGGAGAGATGAGGGGAATTGGACAAGTAGTCGAACGATCGTCAATGGAAGATTTAGATTTGGCGCGTTTTATAGCCGATGTCGGCAGAGCAAGATGTTCACCGCTTCGTTTCGTGAACCCGCGAGAGCCGCCAGTTGGGTCGTGTGGTAGGCCAACGGGACCCGTAACACGGCTGGGATCCAACCGTGTTCTGGTCGTAAGCTTCGGCATTAAACCTCGGCCCAGGACCTCGACATTTAGTACTCCTCCATTCCATTTCCAAACTTCTCGCAATGCTTCGTCGTTCGGGAACGGGTCTGAAGGCGAATATAGGAAGACGACAAGGAGGGAAGGACACAATTTGATGCCGTCGTCAGGATTAGTGCCGTCGTTGGCGGGGGATCATGGTCAAGAGCATTCTGTGCTTGCGTTGCTTGTCGGTATGTATCGAGAAATAAGTCAAGCAGCAGACACGGCACAGGCACGTGACAACTCCGAAATGCTTGCTAGCCGCTGACTCTGAATCAGCGAGCATTACAATGGCTCTTGCCCCCCAGTCAACGACGCAATGGTATCCGCGAGTGGCCCTTACACGTTGAGGTCGATATTCCACTCGTCTCCATTTTCCTCGAGACAACCAAGACGGCTGCGTTTACAACTGTTGCTTGAGCAGATTCGATTGCGTGTCGCGAGAGGAGACGCGTCAACTGTGAGATTGAAGCAGATAGGACAAACAGAGCACGGGCTTGAATGCGCAAGGTGAGTTTTGGAACCAACGACCCTCCGACCTCGCTACTGCGGTTTCGTGTTTCGGCGGTCAGTCGTTCGCTCGCGCTACCATTGACCCGAACAACAGAGGAACTGGCGAGGATCCGAAAGGGAGGAGGTTGTCGCAACCAAGCATTTGCACATCCCGCCGACCGAACTTCCTACTCGCTATTCGGCAGCCGTTTGCGAGAAAGCGGAGATGTCGTCAGGGTTGGAAGGGACGCCCTTTGCTCGGTGATACAAAATCTCACTCGCTGGCATGCTTTTCCAGTGGACTAGTCGACGTCGCCAAACTGGTTGTAGACTGTTTGCCGGACCGTTCGCTTGCGACATGCGGCTTGGCTACTGGGGATTTAAAACAGATGGGACTCGGACAAGTAGAGTGTGGGTTTGAATGCACGAGAAGAGTTTTAAAGCCGATGACGAGGGACAATCTGGTAGTCCAATGGCGATAGTTGAGCATTAAGCAACGGCGCTCGGGAATCTCGCAATCTCAGCGGCCAGCGTCTTATTCGCTCCGTGTCGCTGGATGACCAACCCAGACCAGAAACACAGCTGGAATCCAGTCATGTCCCAGTCGAGGATTCCACTTTCTTCTCTAATCTCGCTCAGCCTTGTGAGAAAGGCGAGTCATCTGGTGAAGATGCTGGCCCCGCTTTGTTGTCGTGGATAAGCCGCCATGACACTCGTGCCGTTCTCCGCTCGCAAGGGAAGGAGGCGGTGTCGCGCAAATGAATGAATGAGTCGAAGACAAGTATCGTGGGGGAAGAAATGACGGAGTTTTGAGGTGAAAGAGGGAAGAACATGGTTGGCATATATTGGCCAATTCGTTGGGACCGTTCGTGAGTCGAAGGTCATGATATTGCACAACTTTTATGAGCGCAAACACGCAAAGTCGTGCTCACCAATCTAATTTCTTCCCTTTCACTACCCAGCTCAATTTCCCAACCGACACTTCTTCATTGTCTCCCTCTCCACAGAGGTCGTTCGCAAAAAGTGTCTGACCTGACTCGGAAAGAAAGCCGAAAACAGCGAGTGTGCGTTGGGCAGTAGAGCTGTAGCACTGCTGGAATCCAGCAATGTAGAACTCCACTGCCGGCAGCTACTCGCAGGCTTAGTTGTGGCCGGTCAGAAACCGGACTGGTGTCCTGTTGTCGTAGGTATCAAGGTGGGGAATGGCGACGTTACACGTGTCGTCACTGGTGGAGGTGGAGGCATTGCCGTTGACTCGGAATTGACTGGGGGAAATGGAGGATGATGATGGTATGCGCGTAGCCACATATGTCGATAGAAGGTAGTAGTAATGAAGAATTAAGAATCAGAAACAGAGCTGGGGGAATGGTCCAAGTGGACAGTACTGCCCATTGGACCTATTGCCTCAGTCTGTCCCCTCTGGAGAAGAGTAAGGGAAGGAGGGGAGAGGCTCAGACCAAGCTAGCTCATTGCTGCAGCTGGAATCCAGCTACAAGCAACAAGTGATGGTGCCACATCATCATCGTGTCGGGCTCACTGGCGCCGACTCCTCGCTCTTCAGCTTGGTCTGAGGGAAGAGGAGGGTTGTGGTGGTCCTAAGAGATGGTTCGGGAAGCAACTGGGACTCCGCTGCCCCCCAAACCAGCTCTCGGAAAATGCATAGAGCATATATCCACTTCACCACCCTTGAAGCCCCTCGCGGTGGGCTCCATTGTGATGCCTCGGTGCATCGCGGGTCCGGGAGGGCCTCTGGGTAGTGAAGTGGAACCGGTAGGAACCCCGTTGTAACCTACGGGGCAGGAGGTGAGCAGATGCAGTATGCTCAGACTGGATGCTGGAGTCCAGACATCCCTCAGGCAAAGGGTAATCGTAGCCTACGATGGAGGAAGCAGTTAAGGCGTACTCAGGCAGTCGTAGGGGTACGAGGAGAGGAAGAGACCAAAAGACGATGAAAGACAAGATCAAGTTACTATGCTACTGTCACAGAGTGATCTATCAACTGATGTATGACATTTGGCCGTGTACTATGCCTATACCCGTCACAAAAGACCAGAAAGACCTGAAAGACTTTTGTGCACTTTTACTGATTAGTAGTAGGAAGGTTACCATTGAAGCTTTGGTGTGATATTGGTCTGTCTTAATCCTTTCTTCATCCCTGATCCACCATACCTAATTGATATATTTAGGGAGGGATAACGAAATCAGTGGGAGTGGGACCTGTCAAGTCCACATCACTCCCACTGATCAGCCCCAGTCCCACTGATCATGCTCGCTCAGCGTCTGATCAGTGGGATTGATGCTCTTGGGCTTGACACAGCGTGACGCCGGAGATCAAGCCCAGCGCTGCGGCAGCCCGCGGCAGCGTGGGGTCCGGGGCGAAGCCCTGGTCAGGCTCTGGGGTGGAAAACCCCAGCTGTCGCTGCCGCAACCCAGTATGGCAAGGGTTGTTTGAGCCCGGGAATGGCAGAAAAGGGGAGGGAGGAGGAGGAATGATCCGCGCAGCGGGCCCCGGCAGGGTGGGTCCAGGGCAAGGCCCTGGTCGGGGTCCGGGGTGGAAAACCTCGGCCGCCGCGGCCAGCACCGCAACCGGTATACCCGCGACGATCCCGTTGATCAGTGGGACTTGTGAATGTGTCAAATTTGACTGCATGAATCCCACTGATGGGACATGAATCAGTGGGACTGGGCAGGATCAGTGGGATTGGCCCAGTCCCAGTCCCACTGATTTCGTATACACTCATATTTAGGCACAAAACTTTCTGTCGGAGCTAAAGTCGGCTTGCCTGGGTCTTGTTTGTGCCTTCAAAGGCAAGAGGTAACATTTTGGCGTGGCCGAATGGCGTGCGCCCGCGCCAAGTGGCGTGCGCCTGTGCCAAGTGGCGTGGCGTGGCGTGGGAGTGGCTTTTGGCTGTCGATCAAAACCAAAGCCAGCCCATTAGGCGTACACGCCATTTTGTCGGCTTGGCATGCCAGACATTTTGGCGTGGGCCGCCATATATGCTGAGTGTTACCGGCCTTTGTGAGTCTCAGCGCTGCCTTGAAGGCCTCTAATAAGGGGCCTAGGAAGCCCCAGCACCATCTAGCAATGACCAGCGTCGACCGCGGTTCACGCCGGACTTTGATCTTCGCGTTGTGTGCGCAGGTCCCGGGAGTAGCTTGTACAAGAGCCAACAGCGGTGGCGAGCTCCATGAGGCTTGTGGTGGGAAGCCCGGGCGGCGTCCAAAGAAGTGTGGTCCCCCAGCAAGTGGGAAGCACACACATATAGACTCGGACCTCCGCGGCCGTCGCGGGCCCGCCGGCGGCTGGTGGTGTCCCTCCTCGCCCAGGCTCCGCCCGGTTGACAGGCTCCAACTGAGCCGGCCGCCCTCCATAGCAATGTCCCACACCTGCGCCGTCTGGGCGGACTGGGCTGTCAGGGATGCATCATGACTGACCGGCAGTCCGGGACGCCGGCTGTGGCTGTGGCTGTGGCCGGTAGGCCGGTGTTCAACGCTGGTCAGTGGTCATGGATCCCGGCACCAAACACTGATATATGGAGGGTGCCCGGCAGAGGGTAGGACTCAAGGTCCGTGTGCAACGGACTTCTAAGTGACGGTTATGTATGATGTGTAAGGGGAGCATGTGATGTGACAGCTGTGACTGATCACGTGACTGGTCCGTGCGCAGATAGCCCTGTACTTAAGTAGTTGGCTGTGGGGCTGTTCCCCCGGCTTTGGTATCAACTAGGCACCTGGACCCTTACCCCCCTGACAGCATACCAAAGCCTCTACATCGACTCTGGCACTCTTCTAGCCCCAGTTGATCCTCTCTATCTCCTATATTCGTCCTCACCCTACTGTGCTTGCCTTCTCTCCTCCAATGACGACTCCTGGCGTCCCTGTCGACCTGTATTCGTACTGCCTGCTCCTGCAGAGCGAAATTACTCGCCTCACCGACCGTCTTGAGTATGGTACGCCTGCTCCACCCCCTGCTCCCCCTTCCCCTGGTCCTACATTCCACGGTGTCTGGGACGGCAGTCGCTGGGTTCTTCCAACAATCCCGGCCCCTACCCCTGCCGTCATCGCTGCGGCCCACACTTCCATACCACTTGCTGAAACCTTCCCCCCTACTGCGCCCGACACTGTCACGCGCTTCTCTTGTACGCTTGTGGTGCCTGACTCGGCTGTCGGGCATATCGTGGGTCGTGGCGGCAAGGGTCTCCACCAAGCTCATGACACTTCTGGTGCTCAGTTGCGCGTACTCTGATCGCGCTGCGCCTGGCGGCGCCGGGTCTCTATCCGGGGAACCGACCAGCAAATTGGTGAAGCGCTTATTGCGCTTGGGAAACGGTTCATGCGTAAGCGTGTCCGTGCGAAGAAGCAACGTCAGCCACCGTCTGCTGAGGGACCTGCTCCCCCTCCTCCTGTCGCGCCTGTGCCTGCGTCCCACGCCACTAAGATGGATGTCGACCGTGCTCCGCACCGCTCGTCCACTGTGCCCCGTGGCCAGTCTCAGGTGCCCCGCGCCCCCACTGCCGCACGTCCTGCCGCTCATCCGAGGGCTTCGACTGCCGCCCGGCGGGCCAGCTGGGCATTCGCGACTGTCTTCTCCCCTCTTCCCGTCTACCCTACCCCCGTCAGCCCCGCCGCCGCCACTACCCAACCTATACGGGCCGCGGCTTCCACTCTCCCTACTCCCCAGCCTAACCCTACTCCCTTCGCACCCTCGGTGGCTATGGGAACTCCGTCGACGTTTACCCGAGTCTCGCATACCCAAGGCGCCTCTCCCATGCGGATGGATACCAGTGTGGCTTCCACTCCCATGCAGATTGACGCGGTAGCGCACGGTCGGCAGCGCAATCGACAGACGGCCCAACGAGGGGCGTACCTGCGCAATCATCGCGTGTTATAGGCGACAACCTCTATTTCCCTGGCGACCCCGAATACGAGTTTGCAGAACCCTACACTCCGCCTATCCGTCGAGGCGACGGATCTTGAGGAGGGGTTGGTGTAAGGGGAGCATGTGATGTGACAGCTGTGACTGATCACGTGACTGGTCCGTGCGCAGATAGCCCTGTACTTAAGTAGTTGGCTGTGGGGCTGTTCCCCCGGCTTTGGTATCAACTAGGCACCTGGACCCTTACCCCCCTGACATAATGTCACACATTTTCGATGTGCCGTCAATGGGGCGTGTCGGACCCACTGATTCACACAGCATATGTTCAAGAAGGTGAAGGGGCTTCGAAGACACCATGTGCTGTCGGAGGGTGAGGCAGAAAGCCCATGGTGGCCTCATCAGTAGATGCCGGGAAGACCGGAACATACCGGTCGACGACACCAGAATCGTAGTAAGCACCTTGGGGGAAATGACCACAGCCAGTGTAACCCACCAAGGAATTCAGTGCACAGTGACAAACAACGAAGAAAATCCTTAGGGAATGTCCCACGCCATCTCACGCCACGCCACAGCCATCAGTGGCGTGCACGCCGGCGTTTGGCGGGCGCACGCCATTCGGCCACGCCACTATGCGAGCTCTGTTCAAAGGCGCCTCTACCAGATAGTTTCTGGCATAGAGCCTGTTACTACAAGTGCATGGAATCGCCTGGTCAACCTCGGAGCCTGCTGGGCCCTACCGCTCTTGGTCATGTGCTTACCTGCGTTTTTCTTTGAAGTTTGATTTTTTGGACTTGATAATTACTTATTCTATCAGATACCATTGTCCAAGGACATCGTTTTGATCTTATCGAGACGCTAGGCTGTTCTCCAGTAGTGATGGCCAGGTCCGGTTCGGGATTTCGGTTCGAACCCGAACCGGACCGGACTGAACGCGCGTTCGGCGTTCAGGTTCGGCCAAGGCCGTTTCCGAACCGAACCTGGCCCTCGGTTCGGCCAGGTTCAGCCGTTTTCGGTCCAAAAACGCCGGTTCGGGGCCGGTTCGAACCGACGTTCGGCGTTCACGTTCGGCAAAATCCCGTTTTGAACCGAACCGGCGGTCCGGCGTTCGGCCGAAAAGGGCCAAGAACCGGACCGAACCGGACTTGGCCATCACTATTCTCCAGCCATCTATTCATCGTGGCTATCAATCCTTATTCTGGACTTCACTCAAGGGGCCTGCACAAGAAAAATCCTAGACATTGGGTCAAAAAAGTGAAAGAAGTACCAGCAGACCCTCCCTACCCTATTGACTAAGCATGACTAAGACACATGACTTCCAAGAAAGGAAATTATTTGTCATGACAAAATGCAGTTAAATTGGGACACATTTCTACAAATTTTCTTGCAACTATGCCCTAAGGGAGAACCAATTTGTGCTCAGCACATCCAAAAGACCCAGACAGCAGAGATGATAAAAAAGAGGTGATGACATGCTTACATATCATTCTTTGGCATCACACTCATCATCATACACTCCCAATTGGGAAATTGGCCATCAAATGTGTTGTATTCATTGGTTCCAACTTGCCACCCAAGTGCTACAAACAGATAAAATGCAGTTATAGTCCTCCTGGACATCCCTGGCCCCTCCCTGGATCTTCCCTAGACACAAGTCCAAAAAGTGAAATTTTTACTTAGGGACCCCCCCTACCCTATGTCACATGCGTGACTCGATGTCTTGGCTTGCTGATCCGCAGGCCCCTTGACTTCACCGTCTTCCTTTGCGGACTGCTCTCCACGATATATTCAGTCTCCACATTTTACCAGCTTTATAAACGCCATCGAACGGTGCGGATCCGCATCCAGTACCATACCGACAGCGCAGGCAGCAAATGTGCCATGTCCTTTGCGTCATTCATCCGACTACTGGTTGTTACATTTCTCATCGGCACATTGACGAGTGGTTTTTCTGCATATCATGCATATCTTGATTGGACGGAGGGTCTGAATCCCTAGGTTTCCTGGTCATTTGTGCATGCCGACTTCGACACTGTCTGGCAGTACCTGATGACGGACTTCACGGACGATGAAACCATGAGTTTGTATATATTTTGGTGGCCATGGCCTGTCGGTGCCATCGTCTTCTTCCTTCTCTTCGGGCTGGCGCGGGAGACGAGGGAGGGGGCCCTGGCAATGTTCGTGAGCGGGCGCGCGGTCAGCTTTCGTGAGCTGTCAACGGGCCATCATAGTGCCATGCGTTACCTTTTGGATGCCAAGCACGCCAGAGGACTGGTTTGTGGGGGAGGGGAGCTCAGCGCATTTGTCGCTGACTTTGATCCCATCAACTGAGTCCAAAATTTCTTATTTTCAGCGCATAAGGGCCAGAAATTGAGTCTATATTCATGATCTATGTTCTACGCATCAATAATGGTATACTTGCTAGCTACCCAACGATCTCTCAGTGCTCAGCCGCAGGCCCTCCCCCCCACGACCACAACCGACTCGCAGCGCGAGTCCATTCCCCCGACAACGTCCCCCAGCCTGCGTCTGTAATGCGGCTTCCACCTGTGAGCCACTCGCCGGCCCTGCCGCCGCCAGCTAGGCCACCGCCCGCCGCAGCGACTGCCTCCGCTCTACCCGGGGACCGTCCGGTGCTTACCGACACGATCAACCTCCTGCATCACATCTGCGCCGTGCAAGACCGGCGCGCAAGGCGCACTGCGCCGAGCCTGCCCATGGGCCACTTCTGGCCCACGCCCAGCGGCCGGTCCACGCCCAGCGCGTCCCCTCGCCTTGCTGTCATCCACGCCACCACCTGCCGAGCCCGAGGTTTTGCCCATGACGCGGCCGCAAGCCGCCGGCCTAGCTTGACGCCCGCGCGCTGGCCTCCTAACGCGGTTGGGTTCAGCTGACGTGGATGCGAGTGGACACAAATCACCGGGCACCCCGCCTCCTCCCTGTTCTCGCCGTCGCACAGCGCGGTCCATCGGGCTGATAAAAGATTTAAGACCCTATTCTGCATGTTAGGATGGCCCAAAGCAGTAGAAAAGGTCACGCACGATACATAACTCGTGTACCCGCCGTTCCCGCCGTTGCTTGACCCCGTGTGCACCCACTGCCGCCCTCCGTAGTCCATCGACGAGCCGTACGCGTCCCAGAATGAATCGTCGTTGCCCTATGGCGAGTCAGGCCGGTGAGTGAATGTTCTTGGAGCATGTACTCACCCGGCATCGTGTTTGACGCGCTCGAACAGTGTCCTGGACGTCGCAAGTGGTGGGGACGGAAAGTGGAGGAACAGAAGCAAGCCGCGATCAGCCAGTCACCACGCGTGACTGGCTATTTTGGGAAATTTTCCCATGATGCACGGAGCTCACGAAACTTGACGCTCGGCAACGTAGCTCACGAAAGCGCGCATCAATCCCATGACAGTTTCCCATCAATCTCACGAAAGCGTATCGCGCGCCCGCGCACGAACATTACTATTACCCCGAGGGAGGCATGGACGCTTGCAGTCGGGAGATTCTGTGGAGGTCGTCGAAAAAAGTTGCGACTTGATGCGGAGTTCAGCCCGGAATGGTCGTTGGACGTGGAACAGGCGACATCCCCAAAAAGCTTTGGCGAAGTGCTATACCTCACGCACAAATCAGCGAATCGGCATAGTCGCAGCCAACCGCTCTGAATGAACCAACAGAAAACGCCCTGTTGGAGGCTGTTGAGTTTTACCGCCGCCGCCGAATGACGATTGACTTATTACTTCTTCGATGTGTCGCCGGCAGAGTCTAGAGATGAATCTTGTGTCTTTTACAGACCCGAATGTTCCGTTAACCGGTTAAGATGAATCATGATGATAAAAACGTGATCGCATTTGTCTTTGCTTCTTGCTCACACGGGCACACACTAAACGAAGCTATCATTCTCCGCCCTAGCAAATGCCCAGAAGACGACATCTTCCAATAGAGCTTCACATGGAGATAGCCTCACACTGTGCTCCGCCCACTTTAGCAAGTCTCTGCAGGGCCTCATACGCACTTCACTATGTTGCCGAGCCATACCTCTACCGCCGCGTCGAGATTCAAGTTCGCCCATGGAGCGTAAGTGGGTGTCCGAGCAAGACAATCATCCGGAAGCTTGTCGCTTGGTCGTCCGTTATCATCAAGGAAAGCCGCCTGGCGCTTCAAGTCCACTCTCTTCAGTTGGGAAAGGATAGCAAAAACGGACCGGCGTCCTGTTATGTTCATGCCCAGTGCGAAGCCGTCTCGGAAGACGTCTGCGACGATTTCCGCTCCGCGCTCCGCCGATGCGTCAACCTGAAGCGCTTCTGTTTGGCCACCGATGCTTGGACATTTCTGCGTATGTGGCTTCAATATTCTGTTCTCGAATTGTCTGCTCAGCAAACGCATAAAGCTATGTCCGTATACGCTCAAGTACTAGACGACCCCGATTGTCCATTCCGCCTCACAAACATCCACTCCGACTTCAGGCTCGACCTTGGCCCTCGCTTTTTCGACACTCAGTCAGCGCTGCAAACCATCTCATTCGCATACAATCAGGATTTTGCGGAGTTGAAGCACTACCCTTCGGCACTTCGGGCGACTGGGTCCACTTTCCGCTTGCTTGCTCTCCGTAACACCTCTTGGATGCTTCGACGGTTGTTCATAACGTATTTTGCTCCATATAGCGGATTCCCACTGGAAATTCAATGTTTGACGGCCTTCAATCACACCCTCACGGAATTTACTATCCTACGCAGCATTGAGCTCTTCAGGCGGCCACTTGAGGGACTCGTTTCCCTTTTCGCAACACACCTCCCGAGCCTGCTGCGCCTGAACATCGTTGAATCTAACGGCTCGACCCAGAAACGGGACGAGGGCTGCCTCCAAAAAGCGCTGGAGGGCTTTCAATGCCTGCAGTCATTCATTCTTCACCTCCGCGTGGACGACTACGGAAAGGTGCATCGGCGGCCCGGGGACCCACGAAGAAACCATGATATCGATGCCGCTTCCCGCCAAATCGTATTCCAGCCTGGACCAATATGCATGATCCATGGGGGCTTTGAGCTGGACTGATGCTGGACTTGATTCCCAGCTGGTGGGGCGTGAAGAGACTGTCTACGAAGCTGATTGAGGCACACAAAACGCTCGCGCGTGTCGAGATTGGGGTCCAAATGGGTTGCGGCCTCACAACGTCGGGGAGGTGTCCTGCTCGGACTAGCTGTGTGGCCGAGAAAACGTACAAGGATGGGGGCAGACGAAGGGTGATTCATTACCGGACATTGAACAAATTCAGGTTCAAGGCGGAGGCGGACTTCGAGAGATATGGCCGATAGAACTTGAAAATATGTAGATAGAGCGTTTGCATTGGTTTCTTTAGTACCCCGTTTTACCAGATACGACACCGAACGCTGGCCCACCCTTGCCAAACATCTTTCTGACATCGTCCACAAGCAGCTCGGGGACTTCATGGGCTGCGAAATGCCCCCCCTTCGTGTGTTCTGCTTCAAACACGCAGTTCCCGAGAGGACGTGTCCATCTGACAGAGCGGTCAGCCGCAATGGAGGTACACAGAAGCAAACACACGTTCGCGGCGCAATCGCGACCTCTTTGGGGAAGAAAGAGGTGCCGAAGGGGATTTTCGGCGCTTGAGAGGGGGGCGGAAATTGCTCTTCGCCGTGGTGCAGCTCGTAGTATATTCGCAGGGACGCTGCAGGCCCCGCCCGCGAGAAATAATAGCTTGTTACCCAAGCGAGGACTGCGAGTTGTCAGAGAGAGAAGTTTACAAAAACGTAGCGCGCCTTCATCGTCTTCCCATGCGTAGTTGTCCGTCCATTCAACTAGCTTCTCGTACACCCACGCAAGAAGGCCCACGGGCGAGTCCGCCAACGAGTATCCCAGAGTTTGCGGCTTCGTCGACTGGGCGTGATAGTACCCTCTGCCTTTCGTCACAAACCAGAACGTCCTGGCTCTGCCCGCCTTTTCGAAGGGTGACCACGGCGTTATGGCCGAGCGAATGTAGGCCAGCATGCTACCCCAGAAGGGTGGTTGGTGAGCACTCAAACAATGTCAGCTTGAATCGAGCGACGGATACGCCACGACACACATAGGAAAGTTTGTATGCCAGGCCTTGGCGTTTTGACTGCCATGCTTCTGCGCAATACGGCGGGTTATGGAGAACCCCAGGTCGCCACCTTGTGTTACTGGGAAACATGAGATACAAAAACAAAGAATCAAGAACGACTCACCGTATTCGCTATATCCCAAGGCAATCATGAGTTTGTTCCCCACCTCCGCATACTGGTCTAATTTAAATCCTTTCTTCTTTGGGGCCTCTGAAAAGCCGAAGCCCGGAAGACTGAGGGCGACAACGTGGAAAGCAGGGTGTTCAGGCGGAGCATCAACCAGCAGAGGAAGTATTTTGCGGACTTCGAGAAAGCTTCCTGGCCCTGATATGGATTAGCGAAGCATATGACTCGCACTCCATTCAGACTCACATCCATGAACAAACAGAAGGGGAATTGCATCCACTCGTTGGCTCTTTTGGTGCACATAATGGATGTTGAGCGTGCCAAATCCCTCAACGTCGATGTCCCGTGTGAACTGCGGCAGCTCCGCATTTATCTGCTCCTCGTGTGCCCGCCAGTCGAAGCCCTCTTGCCAGCGTTGTAAGAGTCGGCGAATGTCGCTTAGAGGTACACCATACGTCCAGCCCGCCTCGTCAATTTCGTCGGGAAGCCGGCTGAGTGCGAGCTTTTGGCGGAGCTCGTTGAGGGCGGTGTCAGGGACTGCAACGACGAATGGTGCCTCGGCCATGGGAGGAGAAAGGCGGGGGAAATTCTTGTCGCTGGCTTTTGTATGTCGATCCACAAGCGGTGCCTAATTGCAGATTGGCCAATGATTGACGTGTCTCGGATCAAAAGATGTACACATTAGGCGGCGCCTGTTTCCGATGAGAAGGACATTGGAAGGACATAATGATACGGGAATGTGAGGGTGCTCCACCGAATATATGAACAGTCTAGTCCTTTATTGAGGATTCGACGTGGCCGCGTTGGTGCAAACGACCCACCGGTAGATTGGGCGGCTTTTCGGAACAGCCGAGAGAGAATTATCTGTGGCAGTCTGTGGCACGCATAGGCGAATTTCACACGCCTTATCTTGTTGACACCGAACGTTGCCCGACGCACTCACGGTTGGGCCAACTTTAGCGGTGAGCGCAAAGCAGCAGGCAAGTGACTTCTCAAGCCTATGTATCTTGTGAGGGAGCTTGCATATAACTAGAGGAATGGTACTGTGGTAGTACTTACTTAACTTTCCACACTGGCACCATTTAAGACATCCAAGACAAATCCAAGACGACTGAAGTGGAAGTCCACGCCAAACTGAAAATCCATGAATATAATAGCGTGTGCCATGACTTGTAGTGAATATGGGCCCTCTTTACCAAAAGGACCACCCCTCCCTGTAATGTTGGTCGACGTGGTTAGCGCCAAGGAATATTGCAGATCACTGATCATGCTGATCAGCATGGTCACAGTTGTGACTCGTGACACAGCACGTGCATTTCGGCAACCATCCCCGCTTGCCCAGCCAGCCCATGTAAAGCGTCCTGTTTCAACGCTTCAGCGGGCAGGTTTCTCCCAAGAGCTCCCTGACCAGCCACATACACCCCGCCGACAATGCACATACTGTCATCGCGCATCACCGCGTCGAAGCGGGCGGAACACCGATGCAGCCCAACGGTGACCAGAGAGAACGGTGCTCAAGCGCTTGCTCAGCCATTCTGCAGCTTATTCACCGATATGGACATTCAGCTTGGATTCACCCTTTAGTCAGTCGGGGGACTACACAGCTGTATAAAACTCGAAGTATCATCGTTAAGAAACCATCCAATCCTTGCATTCAAGTTCTATGGCTCCTACATTCTCCTTTGAAACCACTGCTGAAGTTGCCGCACAGGCATTCAGCGAAGATATTGCTGGCAAGAATGGTATGCATTACTTTCTCGGCTTGCAGACGCTGATGCTGCTCTCAGTGCTTATTACAGGAACCTCGATAAACGGCATTGGTTTTGAGGCTGCCAAGGCCATTGCGAAGTATGCTAATCTGCTCATTATCACTGGCTACAACGATGAGCGGCATGTTATACTACTTTTCGCACTACTCGATCATTGACTTGTTTTCAGCTTGAAGCTTTCGCAAGATGCGCTTGTCAAAGAAAATCCGAAAGCCGATATCCGTCGTCTCGTCCTTAACCTCTCTTCTCTTGACTCGGTTCGCAAGGCGGCCGCCGAGGTGCTTGGATACTCTGAGCCCATCCACGTCGTTGTCCACAATGCCGCTGCCCCATTCGTGAAGCTTGTCCTCTCGCCAGAGGGCCTCGACCAACAAGTTGCTACTGGCCATGTCGGCCCTTTCCTCTTCACCAAACTTATTACGCCGAAGCTCCTGGCGGCCGTCAGCGGCACCTACAGCCCGCGCGTGGTCTATGTCTCCAGCGGCGGCCAAGCGATGACGCAAGGCATTGACTTTGACCATTTCGCTAAGCCGAAGGCTGAAGAGTATAACGCATGGGAAATCTACTGCCAGGTAAAGGCGGCAAATGTGCTCATGGGCAAAGAAATCTCGCGGCGCTCGCAAGGCAAGATCCTCGGCTACAGTCTTCACCCCGGCCGTAAGTGCTCTCGGCAGCGAAGCATTGTGCGCACGCTGATCATCCAATACCAGTCATTTTCACCAACATCCATACCGACCCCGAGGCCCTTGATATGCTCAAGGCGTTTGGCATTCTGACTGCTGACGGCGCAGCCAATCCAGACACGCAGATTGGCACCTGGAAGACCCTTGCGCAAGGAGCAGCAACGTTTGTTCAGAGACTTCTCTCATCACATTCGAGGGTTCGCTAATCGTCAAACACAGGACTGTGGTGGCGGCATTCGACCCCAGCCTCGTGGATAGTCCCGGCGCGTATCTGGATGATTCAGTGCTCGCCAACGACAAGGTCGCTCCGCACGCCTCGGATCTGGTGAGCCATAATCACCATCGCTCTTCTTCGCTTTGGCATGCTCAATGTCTTTGCGCTTATAGGCCAACGGGGAAAAGCTGTGGTCGCTCACTGAAGAGCTGATTGGCGAGAAGTTTACTTTTTGACCAAGTACTTCCGAGTCCTCGAGTTCATGATTTTAAACCCTTAGAGTTCTCAAGCTTCAATTCATCTGTTTAGCATTTTTCTGAGATGTGTCTTCATATGAATGGCATACATGAGGAGATAACTTTGGTAGGCGCACTCCAGCTGGCTTCCTTCCTTCTTCCAGTGGCGGCCATCTTCAAGGCCATCTTCAAGAAGCACTGCCAAAGTAAGACTTTCAGTCGACCAGAGATTTATGACGTCACATTTGTGACGGGAGTGTCACACCCATTATTCTCTTCTCCCGCTCTCTATCATTATGAGCCTATCCCCGTTGCGACTTCGTTGCACGACCGGCCGTTCGATCTCGGGAGCGCCTGTCGCGGGTTGCCTCGCCCTCTCGGCACCGGCATTCCACGTATATATGGTGCCAGAGCTCTTACCGTTTGCTTTACTGGTCTAGAAACTAATACATTGCTGTAGCGACGCAACAGTCAGGTCTAATTGACGTCCTTCAACGTCTCGAAACACTTTTCATCTATCGAGTCGAGGCGCGAACGTCTCATCGACGGGAAGGGCGGTGCATAAATGGAGAGTCCTGAATAAGCAAGGGTTCGGTGACAACTCGGCCAGCTTCGTCGAACAAGGAATCACCAGTCAGCTTCCGAGCGAAGCGAGGAGATGGAAGCCAATTGACGGACGCGCGGCCCTGGGGTAAATATAAAAGTCCTCGAGGCTTTTCTCTTTCTTTCTCTCATTCCCTCACCTCCAAGCATGTCCTACCCAGAACTCGGATTCAAAACAACCGCAGAGGAGGCCGCCGATGCCTTCGCCAATGAGATCAAAGGCAAAAACGGTGTGCAATCGGTTCAATCTGTTGTCGCCTCCGTCGTACTTATCGATCTGAACAGTCCTCATTACTGGAACGTCGGTGAACGGAATCGGCTTTGAGGCGGCGCGCGCTATTGCTAAACACGCAAACCTGGTCGTCATCACCGGCTACAATGAGGAGAGGTGCGCCATCGCCCATCCACACATCATGATCATTCTTGCTCACGATAATTGTAGGCTAAAGTTGTCTGAGGAGGCGATCAAGAAAGATATCCCCTCTGCCAACGTTCGAAAACTTATTCTCGACCTCAACTCGCTTGCTGCTGTCCGCAAAGCAGCTGCCGAGGTCAATGCCTACTCCGAACCACTTCACGTCCTCGTTAATAACGCCGCCGCTCCCCTTGGCCCCTTCGCTACGACTGCCGACGGTTTAGAAACTCAGATTGGTGTTGGACACGTTGCTGCATTCCTATTCACGAAACTCGTTACGCCCAAGCTTCTTGCTTCCGCTACCGCAGATTACACTCCCCGTGTTGTCTTTATCGGCAGCCAGGCACACATGTTTGGCCCAGGTAAGACTCTTCCTCCGGCGCAACGTGAGCGTTTTCTAAACTTTCGAAGGTGTCGTCCTGGATGTGATTAAACCTGGATTGGAGGGCGTCCCATTCCCCCCACATGTTTCTTACTTCTCTGTCAAATCTGCCAACATCCTCACTGCTAGCGAGCTTTCCCGTCGGGCTAAGGGAAAGCTGCATGCGTTTAGCATCCACCCCGGCAGTGAGCCGCTTCTCTCGTTGTCCTCGATAACAGCTCACGGGTAATCCTAGTCATCGTCACCAACTTCGGTACCAAAAGTCCTGCCATTCCTGTCATGCACGCAATGGGCCTCGTTGATGAGAAGGGGGTCCCGAACACCAAGGATTTCGAGTGGAAATCCATCCCGCAAGGCGCTGCAACGTCAGTTTCCTCCTTGTGTTGTTCGACATGCCCATTGAAACTCTTTTCTTAGAACTGTTACTGCCGCTTTCGATCCTCGTATCGCTGGTCAATCCGGCGGCTACCTCAACGACAACAAGGTTATGACCGAGATGGTCGCTGAGCACACCGCTAGCCCCGTACGCTCCAAGTTTCCTCTCCTCTCCGTCCTTTTGGCTTATGTGGGGACTTTTCGTAGGATAACGCCGCCAAGCTTTGGGAAGTCACGGAGACGGTCATTGGCGAGAAGTACGAGTTTTAAAGAGCCATAGAAGTAAAGAAGATACATCCGAATCTGTAGTATACACAAAAAATGTCTCCCCATTGATGTTTCCATCAAATCATCATTCTGTGACGGGCTGGGAAGAGTCTGGATTTTTGCTGTCACGGCCTTACGGATCGTGGAAGCCGCTCCGATGTCCTCGTTGAAGCAGACGACTACGGTGGGCTAGGAGGCTTGCGCCTACCCTAGAAGAGCACACAATGACGACTACATCGACTGCTGGATTTCTTGGAGTGGCGGGAATTCAATCCACTTGGCCCTTGAATTCAAGTTTTCACTAGTTTCGTCCACCCCGGCGCTTGATGCGCAAACTTCCGAACTGGACAGTATAAAATGCCACTTCCTCGCTCGTGACACGCCCAACCTTCCTCTTCCACATAAAAAATGGCCACTGCCAGTGCAAGCTACCCTGCCTTCACATATGAATCTACCGCTTCAGAGGTCGCTGCAGCGCTGGCTGCAGAGATTCATGGCAAGAACGGCACGTACATTCTCTCGTTCGCGCTGGTCGTCGCTGATGGCTCCCAGTTCTCATCACTGGAACGTCGATGAATGGGATTGGCTTCGAGGCAGCACGGGCCATGGCCAAATATGCGAATCTTGTGGTCATTACTGGCCACAACGAGGAAAGGTGCGACAACTACTTAGATCTCCGACTCCAACCGCTCAGTATAATGCCAGACTCAAGCTGTCCGAGACAGCCATCAAGCAAGAAACTCCGACTACCAACATTCGATGCCTCTCCCTTGACCTGTCCTCTCTCGCATCGGTGCGGATTGCCGCCGCCCGGGTTAATGCTTATCCCGAACCGCTCCACGTACTCATCCACAATGCCGCCGCTCCCCTCGGGCCATTCAAGCTCACCGTCGACAACCTCGAAAGCCAGCTCGCCACTGACCACATTGCCCCCTTCCTGCTGACAAAGCTTCTCCTGCCGAAGCTCCTCGCCGCCTGCAGCCCCGAATACCGGCCCCGTGTCGTTTTCGTCTCCAGTACTGCCCATGCAATCGCGACTGGTCTCGATTGGGACCGCTTGGCCAGTTTAGCTGTTCCTGCAAGAGAGAGGGCCGGCGTGGAGGAAAAGTACTTCACATCCCCGCAAGAAGCGTATTATCACGCGAAATCCGCGAATATCTTGACTGCGATTGAGATGTCGCGTCGGTACGAGGGCAAGATTCTTGGCTACAGTCTGCATCCCGGAAGTGCGTCCTCTTTCAAGTTGTTTTCGTTGCTTCGATTTGTGCTGAATGAAGTCAGTTATCTTGACAAACATCACGCAGAGAGAGGACTCCGTGGCGGCCATGCAGGCCATGGAGATCTTTGGCGCTGATGGGAAGCCGAATACTCGCGACATACCTTGGAAGACGATTCCACAGGGAGCCGCTACGTGAGCGAGTCTAGTTCGCGGTTGAGATATTTATTCATCTCTCATAGCACGATCGCTGCTGCATTTGACCCCCGGATCGTCGTCACACCCGGTGCTTATTTGGTTGACTCGGTTGTCGCGAACGATAAGGTGGCCACGCATTGTCTGGATCTGGTTCGTGTCACTGCTTGTTTTTGTTATGACGGTGCGCTTATATTCATTTTGTAGGCTGCGGCGGAGAGACTGTGGACTATGACGGAGACAATCATTGGGGACTCGGAGGAGTTTGTGTGAGCGTTTTCAATTACTCTCTCTCTCTGCAGACACTGAGAGCCTGCCAGAATTGCATGAAATAGATGTGTCAAATTCAAATTTCCCCACAGCGCAAATGAATCATTATAATTTATGGACCCGTAAAACATTAAAGTGCTTCTGCCAGTCATCATCGGTTCATCAAGTGAAGAATCTGAAGATAGAGCTTTGGAGCCTGCCTGCGCATTGAAGCTATCCATAATCCCTCAAATATTAGGGCGTATATCACGAGGTGGTAGCATCGGGAGTGGGCGAACAGACTGAGAACGGGCATCATCCAAGTGAGAATGAAGCATATCCGCGCCCCGTTCTGCTGGCAGTGGCCCCGCAGTAGTCATTGGAATCGCTTCCACGGGCGCTGATCTACTAGTAGCGAGAGTCGCCGACGCCGACTCGACCGATTCGGGCTTGAGATAGAGGACCTCCCCAAAACTTCGTGTCGATGTTGCCCCCTCTACGTCCACCGACCAGTCAGGGCTGAACTCTTTGGGCGCCGGCTCTTTTTTCCGGTTTGGGAAGAATCTCGTGATTGCTAGTGTCCATTCTTCTCTTGTCTCTCGCGCTAGCCCAAAGAGGAGGAAGAAGACGATGGCTCCAATAGGCCATGGCCACCAAAATATATACAAAGTGGCGATTTCAATGTCCGTGAAGTCCGTCATTGGGTACCGCCAGACAGTGTTGAAGTCGCTGTGCACGAAAGACCAAGAAGCCCAGGGTTTTAGACCCTCCGTCCAATCAAGATAAGCATGATAGGCAGCGAATCCAGTCGTCAAGGTGCCAATGAGAAACGTCACGACCAACAGCCGGATGAATGAGGCAAAAGTCATGGCGCATTTGCTGCCTGCGCTGTCGGTATGGTACTGGATGCGCATCCGCACCGTTCGATGGCGGGCGTAAAGCTCGTCAAATGTGCGGGCAGAATATATCGTGGAGAGTAGGCCGCAGAGGAAGACAGCGAAATCGAGGATGACGAGCGATAGCCATGAAGAATAGATGGCCGGAGAACATCCCAGTGTCTCGATAAGGTCGAACCGATGTCCTTGGACAATGATATCTACGAGTATTAGACGGACTAAAACTAGAGTTTCAAGAAACTACGCACGTAAGCTCATGACCAAAACAGGGATGGCCCAGCAGAATCCGATATTGACCGCGCGATTCCGTACAGTCGTGACAAGGTCCTCCTGTCCAGACACTATCTGGTAGAGGCGCCTCTGGAGGCATAAACAGGACCCAGGTAAGCCGACCTTCGCTCCCACAGAGAGCTTTGTGCCTAAAACGTCGATATAGAAGGAAGTTACAAGTCAACGAACGGGTACAACGTACCAATATCGCACCATATCTTCATTGCTAACCCCCCCGGATTGACATTGGTTTCCCATATGGTCGCATTCACCCCTTGCGCAAAGTTATGGATCGCCAGCCACGCGATAATCGATAACGTGGCAAAGCTTCGTATTCGCCAATGGTGAGGCACCGTCAAGAGAAGAAGGAAGAGCGAGATGAAAGCGGCGACAGGAAATACGGTCATAGTAACGTCAACGAAGGCGGATTGTGAGGACTTGAGACGGAGCCAGCCACAGTCAACGGAGGATGGCCGGAAGGCTTCGACAGCTCTTCAAGAGCGACTGGTTCCAGTCATAGGATGTAGCGCCTTTAAAGCTATCTCCCAACTGGAAGACGATCGGGAGACTCGTTTGGAATCTGTCGCGCGCGGTGAAATATCACACTCGACAGATCGGGAGCATGTGGACGGCTTCGGATGAGGTTGTAGACAGTTTGAAACGAGAGGTCCTTTTCAGACACGGCGACTACTTCTTATAAATCTAACTTGAAATAGATCCAAAATTCCAAATACTACTAGTACTTACCGATATTGTAGAGTATTGTAGTTTGCAGTTGGAGCTGGCCTGATTTCCAGTCCTTGGCATTGAAAGATGGTTGACAACGAGCCTCGCCCCAGGCTATGGCACTGGCGGTGTAGTATGATGAAGTTGGGAGTGGTGGAAAGTGACTGTGTTGATCGTCGTTTGTGACACCGCCTTCTTCAGGAATATCATCTCGGAGGCGCCAACTCTTCCAATTCCCAAGACTGACTACATTCTCTCTCCACAACACACGCCTTCAGCTGCTGATGAAGCAGTCTGCTTTTATGACCTTCGACAAGCCTTTTGGGACCCGGGATGCTACACACGCTTTGCGACAACTGCCAGTTTTCCTCCCTGGCTCCCCATCGAGGGACCTTCGCACTAGAGACACCATTTCCGCGAAGGATATGCTGACGGGGATATGCTGGAAGGTGCGTTTGCCTGCTCCTCCCTTGTGTATGCAGCACTGACGTCGCCCAGCAGGCCAACTAACGCCGAACGGCCGCTAGCCTTTCGCAGAGTCGAAGACTAAGAATACGCTGTGCGCCTCTCTTTACAGTGGACGGCCCACTCCTAGCCCAGGAACTGCTGGCTGCATAAGTGCGTTCACTTGCCTTACCCTGGTGTATTGCGACTTACTTCGGTCGTATTCTAGCTAGTGGCAAATGCCGTGCAATACTTACTGTGCTTTCTCCCGACCCGTTCTCTTCGGAAGTAGAGTGTCGCTGCAAGCTAAGCGTGAATCCTCGCCAGAGCCTGTCCATTACCCCGCCGCGCTGGCTTTCTACACTCGTCGAAATCTGCAACAGCCTCGTATATCGACAGCTCTCATATCATGCGACTATCGACATATCCCCCCAGAGAAGTCCAAGTCAATGAAAACCATCGTCTCCCTATCGTTCCTTCCTCCCAGCCCCTGGGGTCGACCTTCTCCACGTATCCCGTCTCCAACAATTCGTAACCACAATGCACACACCCAACTCGAGGTTTACGCATCTATCGACAGCGGCATAGCCCTCTTTATCGCTACTGCGCGGCACTCCCGTTGAAATGCAAAGCGTTTTCCGACCGCAAGAAGACTTCCACCCAGCTTTTATCCCATGTCACAACGGGTCTTTTACATCTTCCGACACGCATGTTGCATGGCTCTTTCGCGTGCATTTCGAGGTGCGTTGGCATAATTTCAACATGTACAATTGATTTTGACTAGGAATATAGGCAGGAAGCCAGTTTTTGAAGCCGTTTTCTCCGGAGACATGAAGTTGGGGCCTCGGCGGTTTCTACTCAGCATTGACAGCCGCTGGTGTTGTTTTGCTCACTGAATTACTGCTCGCGGACTGTCCCACGCCTCTCGCCGCGATAGCCGTGTCCTGCGGTTGGGTTCTCATCTGCGACCTCTTCTGTTTCTTCTCCCCACATACGCATTCCAAACTTCGCCCATGCCGTCATGTGTCTTCCACACAACATCCGCACAACATCCGAAAATACCCTGTCCATCGTTTTAGACGACTTCAACGGTGTATTCTTCGTGCAGCAAGGACTGTCGGTGGCGATAGGGGGGGGACAGGCATATACAAATCAGGCTTTCTTTGAGATACTTCGGAAGATGGTAAGCCGCTCTCTTCTACTTGTCGTCTTGATCTGAACTCGGAAGCTAGTCCGGATTTCGCGGTCAAATAGAGGTTTTCAATACGGTAGTTAAATTTTGCACTACCTAACTACATCACCTTCCATTCCATTGCTTTGTTATCGCTCTTCAAATGTACCGTTATGCTGCGCCCTTTCGGCGGGTACTTCTTTTTTCGGCTTTTGCAGTAAGCGACAGTCATAAAATCATCCCTTATCTCGTGGTGTCAACTATCCAGATGGCCGTTTGGCGGGACTCAGGCTGGGCTGGTGAAAATCATCCCGATTACTGTGTGATATATCTCAAAGTTTCCTCTTCGAGAAGATTTTGCATACTTGTCGCTTTGGAACACGCTTTCACACTGGTTACATTGTTTGCTATTTGCTTGCTTCAATACCCAGTTCTACCAGGGACGACGCCATACGCGGGCCCGCCCTTGCCAAACATCTTTCTCACATCGGCCACCAGCAGCTCAGGTACCTCGTGAGCGGCAAAATGCCCACCATTTGCATGCTCGGATTCGAAGACATGGTTTCCCAACAGGCGCGTCCATCTAGCGTAGTTTGAGTAAAGCAATGAGATATAAAAGAGACACACATTCGGGGCGCGATGAGGACTTCCTTTGGGAAATGCGAAGTCCCGAATGGAATCGTCGGCGCCTCTGACCGGGGCGGGAAGCGCTTGTCGCCGTTGGCCAGCTCGTAGTATATGCGTATTGATGCCGCAGGGCCCCGCGCGAGAAATAATAGCTGGATACCCAGGTCAGAACTAGGGGGATCAATCCAAGTGGACCGGAAGAAAGAGTGATATGTACCTTCGTCGTCTTCCCACGCGTAGTTGTCCGTCCACGCAACCAGCTTCTCGTAAAGCCAGGCGAGCAGCCCGACCGGCGAGTCCGCAAGAGAGTATCCCAGGGTTTGTGGTTTGGTCGAATGCTCATAGAAGTAGCCTCGCCCACTCTTTTCGAACCAACGGGAGCGCGCGAGGCCTACTTTCTCAAAGTCGGTGTAGGGCGTCGCCAGCGCCTGGAGGTACGACAGCGGGGATGCGAAGAGAGATGGATGTTGGGCACTGTTCGGGCGGGGGTAAGAGAATGAGACCGTAGACAATGACGCACATTGGAAAATTTGTATGCCATGCCTTGCTGTGTTTGGGGCCATAGTTGCGTGCGATTCGCCGCGTTATTTGGAAGCCGAGGTCGCCTCCTTGGGTTACTAATGCATGCATGAGCTCAAGGAGAGTCTGCGCGAGACGACACACCATACTCATCGTAGCCGAGCGCCAGCATGAGCTTGTTCCCCACCTCCGCGTACTGGTCTAGACGGAAGCCCTTCTTCCTGGGTGCCTCGGAAAAGCCATAACCGGGTAAACCAAGCGCGACCACATGAAAAGAGGGATGTTCTGGCGATGCAGCGACAAGCAGAGGCAGGATTTTGCGGACTTCGAGGAAGTTGCCGGGCCCTGGCACCAGTTAGCGGCAGAAACACAGAGGAAAACACTTACAGCCGTGAACGAACAACAGCGGAATCGCATCCACCCGCTCGCTTTTCTGGTGGACGTAGTGGATGCTGAGCGAGCCATGGCCCTCGACCGCAATGTCCATCGTGAACTGCGGGAGCTCGGCGTTGAGCTGCCGCTCGTGCACCCGCCAGTCGTAGTCGTTCCGCCATTTAACTAGCAGACGCCGGATGTCGTCGAGTGGGACACCATAATCCCAGCCAGCTTCGTCCAACTCATCTGGAAGCCGCGCGAGAGCGAGTTTCTTGGAAAGTTCCTCAAGAGCCGCGTCCGGAACGTCGATTTTGAAGGGGACCTCCAATCGCGACATGGAGGTTGCAGGTGAGAAATCTCCTTCGGCTTTTCGGGCCATAAACTATCTCAGGCTGTCACCTGTCAATTTTTTGTGGTTGACCACCATGCGGACCGGCGACGAAACGTCGCTGAGCGAGTTACTGGCGCGTATGAAGGAGAAACTGGAGGCTTCCGAGAAGCACAAGGCAGCCTTACTAGCGGTGAGTTTCCATCATTGCTCGGATTATGAGTGGCTGAGAGTGGCTCTAGGAACTCGAGAAAGCCAATGCAAAGGAGCCTAACGAGCCCGCCATTGGAATGCTGAAGGGTCGGCTGGAAATGAGCGTGGCACGTCTCTGTGGCCGCACGGCCCTGAAATGACAACCAAGTACAGAAACTCGTTGAGATGAAACTGGACATAGTCTCGAAGACAAGCGCTGCCGCTACACCGGCCCAGTTGGAGGAGATACGACAGGTGCGCGTTCAGCTATTCCGCTGCTTATAGAACCTTGACTGATATAGTTGATGACTCGCTGCGAGTCTCTTGCATTCAAGACACCGGAGAAGAAGAAGAAGAAGCCTGTCACGGTAGTTCGTGCCTACGTTCATTCGTAGCTTCTACTAATGTTTACAACAGAAAGCAGCCCAACTAGTGAAACCAAGCCCAACGAAATCCTCCCCGCTACCACGCGAAGTCGGTGTTGTGAAACGAGAGCCTAGTCCGCTACCACCTCTCGCTACCATCACCGACATGTTGGCTGCTCCACCGGCCCCGCCCGTTGTCATCGACTGGGATACTTACTCCCTTCCACGCCCGCCACTGGGGAATGACTGGGCCGAGTTTTACTACCTAGCGGACTTCTTCGACCTTGCGCGGGCAGAGGCGCGAATCAAAGGCGGTGTCGATCCAAGAGCGCGCAAACGAGCACCCGTAAGCTACCCTTCTCCGGTCATTCAAAAGGATGACTCCGTTGTGACATAGATTGGCTCTTACGGGAAAGTACTCCTTGCCGCGGTAATTCTTATATGAATCATCCGCGCTGTCTTGCACTCATCACTTGTCGCAGACACCCTGCACTCGGTGCTTCAAGTTTCAACTGCCATGCCTCTTCATCGACATCGCCGAGCCCAATGCAAATACCCCCAATCTGCGCTGCATTGTCTGCCGCGAATTCGAGGCTAAATGCACCGAAACCGAGGCGGGCACGCCCCCGCACGAACACGCTGGCAAGCTTGCATTCTTTTTAAGCTTGTTCGGCTGTCTTGCTGATGCGAAATATAGCGGCGGTGGTGGAGTACCATAACCGCGCCATTGCGCTGGGCCAGCGACCGGGCTTGTGGATGGGTGACGGCGTTCCGCAACTGGATATCATTCCGCCAAATGTCTGGGAGGCAGGCCCAGTCTCCAGCGCAAAGCGCACCACACGCAACTCCCTGGGATATTGACGTGGAGTTGAGTGATTATTTCGATTCGTTCAACACTTCACCCCCAACGAGTACATAAGAGGAGGAAACGGTCACCTCATGGACTGATACATACATAAATCTCAGCTAGTGACTGCAGAAATGTTCCATCGGCACCATTCATTCAGCATTGACATTGGATTACTCTTCTCGTTTCCGGCGGTACCCGATTGAAGCAAGCCCGGGCTGTTGCGTCCCAGGCCAATGGGGGTCCATCCCGGCTTTATCTGCGCCATAAACATTCTGCCACCTAGGCTGTACTTACAGTAAGGTGCAGTACACTGTTTCGGGAAGCTTTCCGGCTGCATAAACTTCGCTTAGATGGCGTCGGACCAGCCGAATTCGGGCGGTGATCGCGGATCTTTCCCTTTTTCTCTCTTACCTGGCACGACGATTTCGAAGGGATAGCTCTAGGTCTTCGACGGTCCCCAATCAATACCTAGGCAAAGAACGGGGCAATATAATTCACGAACACCAATGTAACGCATAATGAGCCTCTAACGAATCCCGGAAGCCGCCAGCTATGTCAAGCTGAGTATTGACTCCTTTAGCTTGTCGGGACCGACTTACGTTCCAGGATTTGCAAGCATAGGCTGACCAACGGATCCCCATCACGTCAGCCCCACCTGCCGCCGACCTTTTGAGTATAAAAGTCTCAGCAAATGCCAGTGGCTTCTCCACCAAGCGAATTTGAAAACGATGCTCTCCCTTCAAGTTCCACAAGCTTTCGCAGCACTGGCGCTTGTTGCAGGGCTGTCCTCTGTCCATGCTGCCTCACAATACTCCACGACCTTTGACATCCCCTCCTCCAATGCGACTGTCTCCATCTCACGCTTTAATATCGGCAACATTACCGCCCATAGGGCTCGGCACCGTACGTACCGTATACGGTACGTGACCATTTACGGACGATACGGGCCAAGTTCGGACCTTACGGCGGTACGGACAAGCGGCCGGCCGGCCTCACGGTACGGTACGGTGTACGGTGCGGTACACGGCTGCACCGGTGTCTTAGATAAATCATATGGCGCCAAGTCATAGAAAAGTTTTGCGCACATTCTTGTGAATTTTGGATGAGATGCCTGAGACAATGATATTGTGATTCAGCTTGAGACTCGAAGCAAAATCTTCTGAGACTTTCATACTTCTGCGCCTTTCTTAAAACTCAATGACATGACATGGCAGTGATGGATGGACTGTCAGTCCGCTTCAGTGCGGCATCAAGGCATCAATGTCAGTCTCCACGGGTATCAGACACATCCGCTGACTTGGGCTCTGCGTGCCAGTGGGTGGTGGTGAACATGCACAAGCCTCATGCTTGCTGCCCGAAGAGCTCTTGCATTATCCCACCATGGGCAAAGCATTCCAGAGCCTCCAAGAGCTCCCTCCTACCACACCACTTTCTCGAAAAGTTGGAAGACACAAGCAACGACTCTTCCGATGGCGTCGGCATCAGTATCTTGGTCGCAAATCTGCTTATGACCGCATCACAATATTGGGCATGATGCTTCTCATTGTGGTTGCTCTAGTCTGCTCAGCTTCTCTTCTCTATGCACAAATCAGATGTGGACACACAATACTCTCTACAGTTTATATTCTCTTGTATTTTGTTGCATTTTCAAGCTATGTTTTTAGCAAGTGTTTTATTGATGCTCTTCCTTTGATCTCAGACTGATCAATTCAAGTATGCCGACACTTGCAAGTTTATTGGTTGCTGCACTCAAGGCAAGACTCTAGAAATATTAAACAGATATGTCCATATCAGATTACTGTTTTGGGTGCCTCAGGGGGCCCCAATTTCTAAGTATTTTTTTAAAATCAGTATTAGAACAAATGTTTAATTATATATTCAGCTGTGCACTCAAGTCAAACTGTCCAAGATCTCTTCCAGATGCTGCGTAAACGACATTGCATAGCAGATCTATCTCAAGTCAACTACAGTCTTTTATTCCCTAGTGGCCAGCATATGGCCTTGCAAATGCACCAAGTCCTGGGAGACATTGGTGTTCAGAATTTATCTGTCTTGTATCTGCGTGCTTGGGTTCCAGGAGGGTCAAAACAACCACAAGGTACCAGATGGATTTTATATTATATTATGACATATATAAATTTAATATTCTAGTCTCAAATCCATTGTCTTTTAGCATCAGCACAGGAAACTTCCCTTCTGCAAGACCAGACAGTAGGCTATCTATCTCTGAATATTAGACCAGCCTAACTTCTACTTATCTTTAGTTTGGATTCCAACAGCAATGAATAAATTCACATGCACCGTGTGTTTGAATAGTAACCCTGTTGCATGGAAACATATTGCTCAGCATGAATCATCACGCCGTCATATTGAAAATCTACGGAAAACTGATGAAGCTTCTAGTAACCCAGCTACAGCTAGTAGCTCTTCTCATGAAAGTGGTACTGCAAGTTTTCAATCGCAGGCTCATATAAGGAGTCTCCTTGCCCAAACTCTTCTAGATGCAGCTCAGAGACAGGGAAATAGAAATAATAATAGCTGGATCAATGAAACCACTGGCACAGGGGAATGGAATAATTTAGCTAGTATTGAGATGCAATTTGAAGGCTCTGATGCCCACCAGCATGAATTACTAGAGCAACTTCATGAATTTCTAGTGGCAGATATTGATTCTGATGATGAAGATTGTGAACGCAGTGACTTAGAATCTGGGTCAAATTCATCAAGTGCAACTTTAGAACAACTTGGTGAGTATATAAATTAATAAAAATAAAAATTCAATCAAATATAAATTTAGAACAACCCCATGCTCATAAAAGACATCATATAGATCTTGGAAATTTTCAGTCTGACTGGTACCCATGGCCAGATAAAGAAGTGAGAATAAGTTAATCCATGAATCTAATGGTGACATTTTAACAAATTTCAGACTTGTGTATTAGATATTCTCCGGCATCTTCCACGGTGTTCATTCTCGAGAAAACAGAATGCAGCAATTCATTGGGCTATGGAAACACTTGGGCTCCATAGCCTTCCTACAGATCGGGTGCTTGATGATATTGACAAAACTTTACAAAAATTATGTGGAGTTCAGAGTATCAAATACACAGGTGCATTTGGTCATAAATACTATGTGAATGACTTGGCAGCTCTTATTGCTCAAGTGAGTCGTGTCCACATTCTTTTAAATATAATATGTATTTTATAAATTCAAATTTTAGGAAATGGCAAATCCTCAAGTCCGCCCTAAACTTCAATTTTATCCTGAAGATAGTCATCCCACTTTAGCTCAAGCCTGGCAGGCAGAAAGATGGCTTAAAGAACTTGATTCAGACTTAACAACTCCAATGATAAGACTTCAGAATCAAGATTTTTTCATCTGGGAGCCTGCTTTATTATCAAATGGAGAACTATGCATGCCAACTAGATGGGTTCAACGTACAGGTCAAATATATGCATATGCATATCCAATGGCAATGACTAGAATTGATGGACAAGTTGGATGGCTTATAGAAAAAGATCGCCCAGTCACAATTCTATCTACTCACTTTGCACAATCACTTCCCAGATTGCTGCACACTTATCAGGATAGAGGGCTGGCTGATCCCAGAATTATTTTTGGTGAGTTTTTCTAATCAAATCAAACAAACAAAAATCTGAACATCAATAATATCCTAGGAGAACACTCAACCACACAGAATACCTTAACTCCTTGGGCTAAAACAAACTCACAGGAAGGCAATCAATGGCGTAAACAGGCTCAGGGACATCGTGTTATGGCATTTCCTATCTGGCTATATTGTGATGATACCTCTGGGAATCTATCAAAAAAGTGGAACAAGCATAATTCCTTCTTATTTACAGCTGCAGGTCTACCTCGTAAGGAGGTACATCGAGAGTCAAATATTCATTTTCTATCAACATCAAATATAGCGCCACCATTAGAAATGCTAGATGGCATTGTACAGCAGCTTCAGTATGTGGGCTCTATATCTATCATTTATAAATAATAACATATCTTCAGAGTTGCACAAAAGAATGGTATCTGGGCATGGGACTGTCATTACAAGGAATTTGTGCTTCTGATCCCATCTGTCTTGGCTATGCTAGGTGACAATCCAATGCAGAGTGAACTAGCCTGTCATATTGGATTTCGCGGAAAGCTTTTCTGTCGTGTCTGCTGGGTTAAAGGACAACCAGAACATAATGAGTCTGATGATGATGATATACAGCCTGCAGCAGAAAAAGATTTAAGTGATAGCTCTGGCATTGACAGTGATAGCCATAGTAGAGGAAACAGCACTCAAAAGTCAGGACAAGCTCCTATAACTAAAAAAAGAAAAAACAAGAAGAAACAGGACTATTCAGTAGCAGATCTCAGGAGCAGAATATCACAGTTTATGAATCTTGGTGCTCCTAGAAATAGGGTAGAAACATGTGAACATCTCAAATCTCAGTTTCAATTAGCAACAACTGTTGGAAAGCAATCAAAGTACAAGGAGATGCGAACCAATAATGGAATCAAGGACAAGTTTATGGAGGGATTTCTATCCCAGGTTTTTGCCATCTCTGGACGACGAGGCGGCACAAAAGAACGAAAACAAGCAGATATTAATAATCTGAAGAAAAATTTTCCATCAGATATTACTAGTCCTGTATGGCGTATTAAGGGTAATTATCTACCTAAATATTTAACTTAATTTACTAATCTCACAACAGACTTTGACCCTCATAGTGATACACCAGTTGAAATTCTTCATGTTATCCTACTTGGATTTGTCAAATACTTTTGGCGTGATGCTATTGCTAGACTCAAACCAGATCAGAAACAAGTTCTGATTGCAAGACTTTCCTCCTTCAATGTATCTGGTCTTGGAATTCCTACTCTTTCAGGCCATACACTTGTTACATATGCTGGCTCACTCACAGGACGTGATTTTCGTGTAATTGTGCAAGTAGCACCATTTGTGCTTCAAGGTCTATTATCGGAAGAACGAGTAAATACCTGGGTAGCTCTCAGTCATGTTGTGACTTTGGCATGGCAACCTTCAATTAATAATTTAGATGATTATTTGGTATGTTTCCAAATATATCCATCTTATCTCTAATTGTTTATAGGCTGAACTCCAACATGCAATTGATCACTTTCTCAATTGTACTTGTCAGCTAAGTATTAACTGGTTTAACAAACCCAAGTTTCATGTTATCCTTCACTTGCCTGAACATATCAGAAGATTTGGGCCTGCAATGCTATTTGCAACTGAAGGGTTTGAATCATTTAATGCTGTAATTAGATCTTGCAGCATTCATAGCAATCGCCATGCACCATCAAAGGATATTGCCATGCAGATGGCTAGAGGCAATCGTTTACGTCACCTTTTGAGTGGTGGATATTTTTTTGTCCCATCAACAGATCAAATTAAAGTTTCAGCTCAGCTTGATTCCCAGTCCCATTGGATGAAATTCTCTCCAACAGACTTTCTACAGGGTACCTGGTGTACTGTAGGATCAAGGCCTCTGGATTTTATTCATACTCAGGCTCTCTGCTGTGAATTTCTTGGTATTTCTGAGTCTGTCCCACTTAAAATACCTGGGACTTGTCAAAAAACTGGACCATTACAAAAGGCTAGCATTATAAAATCAGCACAAATTGCATGGAATATTCCCATACTATCCACATGTGACCTGGAGACTACATATGTTTACACACCACAACAGGTATTCTTAAAAAATCATGATCTCTGCAATCTGGGAGACCATATAGTCTATAGTGATCATACAAATCAAAGGCAGATAGGCAGAGTATCTGAAATTGTGCAAGTCTTAGGAACCCCTGCACAAATGAGTGGGAGGGTAGATTTTATCATAGTAACCCAGATGTCATTGGGCACTCCACACTCTGCATATTCTATGAGACAATTGCAATCAGTTGAAGTATTAATTTGTCTTAGTATTGAGGTATGTAATAATATTTGTACAGATGATTTAATTTGATTTTTCTTGTAGGACATATTGTGCACAGTCAATATCCAGCATAATTGTGTTGACAATCAGTGTCAAATTTCCCGTTCAAGATCAACAAAGCAGGAACGAGAACAAACCAGTGAAAAGGAGTTAGCCGTAGAACACCACTCCAGAGCAGTTAACAACTGGGTTATCAATACAGCACAGATGCGTGATTCTGAGGTTCTTGGATCATTCCGTAGTCAGCCAGTACATTTACTCAGAGAGAAGATCATCTGGGAGGCTGCAACTTTAGAGTTTGAAACTCAAAAAAACAGGGGTAAAAATAAAGGAAAGGAAAAATCAAGTAACCATGATGTGGGCAGCTTGATTTCTAATAACTTTACTGCAAGTCATATAGGAAGTTTGCCTGTTGCAGCTGCAGAGCCCCAAATAGGGTCAAAATCCAGCAGTCTGAGAAACATTTTAAATATGGATGTTGATTAGCTTACTAATATTTGTTTTTTAAATTAATAATCATTTTCTATCTAAAAAAGCCATGTTCCAAAATGGTCGATGTCCAAGTCACTTACATCATCAATAGCACGTGCTCCTTTCCCAACCTTTTCCCTTCTCCGCTCTCAGACAGTGAGAACACTGTGCCTTCAAACACTGGCTGTACGGAACCCACGGGGTCCGCCGTGTTGCGCTCATGGTCCGTCCGTGTTGTGTATAGGCTCGCCAAAGCTCGTCAGGGTCGCCGATGCGCTAGTGCTTGTTTCAGAGGACACCTGGTCAGGTCGCGTCGTCCATTCGGGTACGTCTTTCGTAACAACCCTAAGCTCCGTTAGCTCAATTTGACCTCCAGTAGTCGTATAAAAGCCTACCTCCTTTTCCAACAAAACCACCACCTTCCTTTCTTCCTTTTGCCATGTCGTTTGCATACCAACAGTCCCAAAATGGCCAGCGCTATACTATGTGCACCACCGACGAGTTCGAACAATCTTACGATGAGCTCCAACCCCCCTTCACCCAGCGGCAAGCAAGTCTGGGCTCCTCGGAGTCGTTTGGATCCAGCCAGCCAGCCCCGACCGACTTGGACACAGCGCTAGCTCATGTCGTCAATCCCATTGATTTTGTGGACTCCGTCTCCGACCGAATGGAGCTCAACGATGAGAATAGACAAGAGCTACATCTGCTTCGTGCGGTGCGTTTCCGAGTCTCAGGCTTGTCATACTATTTGGCTGACATTTCCTCTAGAAACTCAGTCTCCCGCACGACCAATTGATCCCCATCCTCTTCTCATCTGCTCATAATCTCTTCAACACTCAAATTGCTCTCGCAAATGCCAAAGATATCAGCGAGATCAAGGCACTTCTGCTTCAAATCCGGAAGACCATGCATCAAGCAGCACTGAACCAAGAGCAAAAGGCCTGGCTGCTTATCTCTTTCTGCCCATGCTGAGCTTACCTATAGGACGAAGTCATCGCTGCAGCGAAGCAAGTTGTGTTTGACCCCAAGCGGCAGGCATACGACAACGAGAGTTTGATAGCGGCAATTCTTGTATGTGGCTTTCTCTTTGCAATGCTTCGCACTTATTCCCATGCACAGCCCATTCTCAAAAAGTACAAGGACACGAATGGATTCGACGATATCTTTTCCGAGTTCACCGTAGCGCGCCGCAAATTGCTTCAAAAAGAGGCTCGGACATACGCGTCATATGCAAAGAAGACATTTACCACTCATGTACGCGACCGTTTCTCGTTGTACACTCTACTGACACTAATGTCCTCATAGATTGGTGAATCTCTCACCGAGAACCTGACCACAGCAACTCGTAGTGCCGTCAAGAAAATGGGCCTTGACCACCACAAAATCACGCCGCATCATCTTGTACGGATGCTACTCCTGGTGCGCAATTGTCTACGACTGCTTACTTATCACTGAAATGCTCAAACAGCGCACCTTTGCACGCGAAAACCCCACATTGCTCCACGAGGATGCCAACAAGGTCCCCCGTCACAACATATCCTCAGATGTGAGCAAGACCCCGAAGCCAAGAACCACTGACAAGTCGTTCTGGGGTGTGTTTATGGTGTGGCTGGAGAGCCTTGTTCAGAAGAACGGCGCAAATATCAAGGACGAGAAATGGAAAAAGTATGTGTTCATTAGCTTCCAATGTAGTTTTAACGGATTCTAGGCATGTTATAGCCCTTCTCAAGACTGAGGAAGAGCTCCATCCTGAAGACACCATCGAGGGCCTTCGTGAATACAAAGACGGCACCACTTCCGCTTCAGCCCATCCACAGCCAGAGCCTACAGCCCGACCCATCTGTGCACTCCCGCCGTCACTCTACCATGGCTCCCGGCCCATCGACATCAATAGCGCCGCAACCTGCTGTTAGCTCCGGGTTCAGAGGTATGCACATAGCTATAGAGCAGTCTCATGCTCACCTTAACCACCTCCAGGCCCTGGTTTTTCCGTTACCCAGCCACAGTTTACCTCCACCAAACTCCCTCCCCTCCGAGTCCATGGCAACCACGAAGGTATGTGTTGTTTGTAGACCTGTGAATGAAGCTCATCGTGCCACCAGCTGGACTTACTTTGCCCGGGTTGGACCAGCTCACCTCATACCCGTCAATGGCGCCATTCCAAACCTTTGGAGGTAGGTGGTTTGCAATCGTGTTTTCACCAAACTGAAGAGCCATCAGCGCGAGGGAATCAAGCCGGACCATCCACCTTCCGAGGGTAACGCAGGATGAGCAGGGGTTGGGTGTGGAATAGCTGAATTCTTTCTTTGTGGTAGTGTACAGTGGTTTCGAGGTAATCGAGGTTTCGGCGCATAATCGAGGTTTCGGAGCATAACCCTAATTTGGACTCGGAGCCATCATGATGTTGTGAGATGAAATGTCCTCGACCCGACGCTAATACGCGCTGTCCACCAAGTTTTAAGAAAGTCATACTCGCCTAATCTTAAAACAATTGTAGGTTTTGTGTAGACAACTTACAGGAGGTCAGATACTAATGAAATCTTAAGCCTGCCGTGCGGCCGTGTACGTGATACGGACGTCTACGTTGGGTAGACCGGCCGCGTATCACGGCCTCGGCCATGCCAAGCCCGCGTTATTGGTGAGATCCACGATTTCCATGCGGTCGCTCGCCAAATCTGTGGCCAGGGAGTTGGAACAGCGGCCCGGTGATCCCATCACCGTATCGGCCCGCACGTACGGATACGATACGGAGCATACGGTCCACTGTCGGAGCTCCACGGTACGGACATTTCGTCCGTACGTACGTCCGTATGCCGTATGGCTACGGATACGGTGCCGAGCCCTAACCGCCCAAAACCAGTTCCACACCCTCATCTTCCCCGTCATTCCTGGCCGCGACATGATGGAGCTGCCGATGTACGCTTTTCTCGTGCAACACGGGCAGCGAAAGGTCATGTTTGACCTCGGCATCCGCAAAGACCCCCTCAACTTTGTGCCCAGCCTGGCTGCGCCGTTCGCGAGTGGCCAATTCGCGCCGTCTCACTTTGACACGGACATTTTCGACCTCCTCGGACAGGCAGGCATTGCGCCAAGTAGGGAATGGCACGGGTATACCCACGGGTATCCGAGGGCCTACCCGTACCCTTACCCGCACAGCCACAGTACCCATACCCGCGGGTACGGGTATGGTTTTACCCACGGGTGGCGCAGGGAGTCAAGAAGGCATGGTGACGAGACTGTGATTAGTGTCCAAAGTACGCCAGAAATGTGCGGTAAAAATGGAACACAAATGCAGAATCGAACAGAGAACCTCTTGACCACCAAATCACGAGGGGAACCAGCTGAGTCAGGAAGCAACGGGTAGGGGCTGCACTGACCCGTACCCGTACCCGCACGGGTAAAACCCGCGTACCCGCGCCGGGTATGGCCTACCCGTGCCATTGCCTAGCGCCAAGCAGCATAGAGAGCGTTATTTGGAGGTGCGTGGCCTTGCCAGTGCTTAGTCTATTACTCGTTACTAACAGTCATTCTCAGTCATGCGCATTTTGACCATATCGTGAGCCGGACGCTGATACTGAAGCAATTGCAATTTAACGGTGTTTTAGGGCGACATGTCGAAGTTTCCAAATACCACATCGCTCGTCATTGGCTCCGAAACCGACGTTTCTACTTATCCCACCAATCCGAATGCTACGCTGCAAGAGTCCGATTTTGCGTCAGCCTAAGTCTTTGTCTCAACGGATTCAAACACTGATATCCAGCAGCGGTCGGAACGTCACTCCAATCGATTTTTCCAAGTCTTCACTGGAAATCAATGACCTGCGAGCAGTCGATTATTTTGGCGACGGCAGCTTCTATTTGCTGGACACTCCGGGTGTATGTGGCCCCAGCATCTTCTCCTCGTTGACTAACGTCATACCAGCATATCGCGGGGCATCTAACTGGCCTAGCCCGCGTCACAGCCAACCCGTCTACTTTCATCCTGCTTGCTGGAGACACTTTCCACCACGTCGGCGAAGCCCGCCCCCGCCCGGCACTACAGGCGAATTTCCCATGCCCCGCCCACATCGTAGAGTCAAGCCGCGGACATGTTTCTGTTGAAGTAAGCGGGTTGGCGAACCCGAGTCATCGCCGAGAGATGACGTCAGCGGCTGCGCCATCACCGACGCTCGGCGCGTCGGGAATGTTCTCCCACTTTCTATTGACTCAGAATACAGAATATACTAGAATAAAGAGAGTAGTATAAATACTTGGTAGTCCTACTCTAATAAACATCGAATATTTTGTCTAGTTTCTTCAACAGGTTATGGCCCCGGCACCTCACATTGGCCAAGCACCCCACAGTAGCGACACCACTTATTATCCCCTGCACCACCCTCCTCCGACACACAGCGACCACGCGATGGGACGGCTCTCTGGAGCAGCCTTTTGGGATGTGATCCCTCTACGGCAATGGGCTGGCAGAGCAGCGCGGGAAAGAGCGGCGAAGGGAACGACACGTACCGGACACTCGATCACGGATGGCAGATGGCTCAGCATCGCCAGCACACGGACAGATGAGCATGGTCAGCACAGATCGGTCATCGCCACAGCTTCGGGCTCACGGCCGGCGCGCCGGAGCGGCATGGACTTGGCTTGGGATGGGTTACCGCCATGGGATCGCCAATGGGCTGGATCAGTTGGTTGGGACCTGGAATGGAATGGAACAGAGTCACGAAAGGGATCGCCACGATGGGCTGGATCACAGTCGGACTCGGAATTGGATGGACTTGAACTGGAACCGGGCCGGAGGCTACCGACACGACATGGGAATGTACTCGCGGACACGGACATGGACACCAAGGGCTTATGGGCCGCGGCAACGGATTTGGTATGGGCACGGCATGGACTCCGGGTTGACGCTGGCGCCGAGGGCGGCCAGGAAGGACCATAGGAACTGCCAAGCAGCAAACGGCACATGGGCAACAGACACTGGGATTTACAGTCAGCATCAGAGACTGCATGGAGAAAGGGGGAGTCTACAACACCACAAGAAAGCCTCTAACCCAGGCGAGGTATTCCACTGCGCACCATGCTTGCGAAAGCACGGCTCGACTCGTGTTCGAGGGGGAGTGTTGAAGTAAGCGGGTTGGCGAACCCGAGTCATCGCCGAGAGATGACGTCAGCGGCTGCGCCATCACCGACGCTCGGCGCGTCGGGAATGTTCTCCCACTTTCTATTGACTCAGAATACAGAATATACTAGAATAAAGAGAGTAGTATAATGTCAGGAACAGGGCCGGCCCGGGCCCACGTGACGGTCTCCTGCCAGCCTGACAAGTGTGGGAAAGATGGTTCAACCCCCATAGCTGGGTGGTTGGCAACCAGGCAGCGTAGATGGTGCCACTGCTGCAATAGAGAGCAGGGTAGGGACAGCTCGGGCGACTCGAGACGCCCCGCTGCCACGTTGTGTGACAGCGGTGTCACAGGATACGAGTAGTCGTCTAGAGTTTCCTACCCCTGCTGAAGGGAACGAGTCCATAGCCAAAGATCGCTGCCTAGTAGAGTTGGTGCCCAAGACATAGGGCAAGGCATAGGCTGGGCCAGTTGAACAAGCCGTTCGGGCGGGGCGTGACGTAACGCGGTCACACCCGACGGTTCGGGGGTCGAGGGGAGTCGCCCCGCAACAGGGGCTGCGGGCCCGAGACCCCTGGAGCGCTTGAGAAGGGTTGCCAGTCCAAGGGGCGACATATCTCCTTTCCTGGAGTAACGAGTCGCTGTGGCTCCTAGACACCGCGTGACGGCGCGGTGTGACGCGTGACATGCGGGCCCGATCGGGCCCGCACCCTCCCATCGCCCCGTACCAGGGGAACCCAGAGCTTGAGGCCAGAGAGCAAGAAGAAGTGGCTAGGACAAGGGTGAACATAAGAGACAAGAGCCTGAGCTGTCCAGCCCAACCAAGGGCTCAGGTCAATGAGGCAAGCTAGCCTGGAGTGTTGGAAGTCGTCTAGACGCCCCTTTCCTGGAGTATAGTCGCAGCAACACCGCTCTAGGGGACCAGGCCGGAGTAGGGTTCAAAGGAAGAGACTTCAATGCTAAACCTAAGTGTAAGGCCCCGGATCGCGTGCTCCGCGATCCGGTGATAAATATCCCATGATATCCATTTCCATGTGTTGATCATCGCAGATGCGCACGGATTCTCCACTATGACATCATATATGTAAAACACTTAAATACTGCGTCCATTTTCTGTATTAGTTAGCTTTTCCGAAGGTCAATCTTACAGTTTACGCCAGTTCTCCTTGTTGTCCGACCTCGCCGGCCTTCCGCCCTCGGTCTCCCGTGTGCCGGGACCCGCTTTGGTAAGCGCCCCGTCACATATTTTGAACTGCTCGCTACTGGTTTACAGTCTGTACTGACTCCGAGGGTCTGATCAACCCTTCCTGTCGTCTTGCTGTTGCCCTGACCAACCTCCGACGTCTCATGGCTACCCATCGAACACGTCTTGCTGTGGCTACCGGTCGCGCTCCTGCCCCGACGCCCCCTGCTCGTTTGACGTCACGCCTGTCGTCATCCCGCTCCACAAGTGGAGCCGACCATCACTTGGTGAGTGATATGGGTCGCGGTGTCCCGGCAATGCCGAATTCTCGCCCCCGCCTCACGGCGTGCCGCCTCCGGGCGTGTTCCTGGCTTTGCCAGTCCTCGGCTTGCCGAGTCTCAGCTTGCTGAGTTCCCTGCGCTTTCGGGCGATGTCGATTGGGGTCGCCGGACGCCAGTCGCGGATCTTGATCCGGTTGACGATGATAGTGCTGGTATGACAACGCGCTTGTCGAGCGCGCGTCGAAGCCCAGTCATTCGTCCTACAAGTGTAGCACATTCGTCAATACATCAGTTTGAATCTGAGTCAACAACTCACCTTGCCATGGATGGCATGAGTGTTGAGGAGCTCAGCCTGTTGGCGCGCCGACACCAGCTGCTGGCTGATGAGGCTCGCTTTGCTGCGAGTCGCAAGTCTGTGAGTGCCGCCCCGCGATTTTCAAGGTCGCCGTCGCCATTGATTGAGTTTGACGAGCGGTCTCGCCAATCTTTTGATGATGGGTATGTGTCCCCATCCGAACATCAGAGTCTCCGGTCATCGACGCACCTTGGCCATATCAGCCCAAGGCCTGTTCACCCACCTTCGGCTGGACCTTCCCGCAACAAGGGGAAGGGCCCCGACCCTAGGAATTGGGGAGCAGTAGAGTTTTCGGAAGAGTTTTCTGAAAACGAATTAGCCGCGCAGCGTGATGCATTCGAAAACTTTGCAGAGTTGCATCACCGTGAGCCGCGCGTGAAGATCGAACGTCGAACGACGCCGCCGAGTTTTTTCGCGAAATTCTCGCCGTCGAGGCCATCCTCTCCGGGTATTAGAGCCCCGGATGAGACGTTGCCTGTCTCCGAACACCCGTCGCGGATGGGTTCCGTTGTCGAAGGCTCTCGTTTGAGCGCTGAGGCAAGGATCGCTGATCTGGGGCGCCAGATCAGTGAGTTGAGGCTTGCGAACGAGGAACATGTACCAGCAGTGAAGCCACCTGCTAGTCGTGCCGAACACCATGTGCGCGAACGCATGTTGCGGGACGTACCCGCCGAACCACGAGTGAAGGGCTCTCGCTTGCGCCCAACGGTGCCAGCAAGACCCTCGCGTGGCCCCCGATTCGCAGCTGGGAGCACTATCGAGCGCGCTATTAACGCCGCGACAGCGGCGCCTGGGAACCCGCCTTCGCCAGACCCATCTGACGATCCTTCGAGTTCCGGCTCTGAGCGGGAGCCCAACTCACCGGATGCTGATGGAGTCCCAAGGCCAGGACGGCGCCTGCCTGCCGTCGCTCCGGGCCGCGCCGAATCTTCGCGTCTAGGCTCACGCCGACGTGACGTCGCACTGCCCATGCTGCTGAAGCCAGTGAAACCGACACCCTACGACGGTTCGCCCGACCCCGCGAAGTACAAGAAGTTTGTTCGCGAGGGCACGGCGTATGTCAATACGGGTCGTGTGCCCGCAGAGCAGCAGATATTCTACTTGTCCCACTTTCTTGAGGGCAAAGCTGCGAAATTCTACGATCAGAAGGTCGTTTTGCACGAGGAAAATTACTCACTTCGTGATTTCTTCTGGGGAATGTTCGAGTTTTGTTTTCCTATGAACTTCCGCATCCAAATGCGGGACAAGTTGAATAGAATGGTCCAGAAGGACGCACCTGTTGTCGAATACACGGCTGAATTCGAAACAACCTGGAATATCATCGGGTTAGCGGATGATCAAGAAAAAGTGGTCAAATATTGGCGCACCTTGAACGCGGACATCCAGCGTGAGATGTACCGCCAGAAGCTCGACCCCGAGACCGCCTCCTGGGACGACGTTGTCCAAGCGGCTGAAGACGCCGAAATTCTGCTCAATATTGAGCCAGAATCGCCCGCGTCTGATGCCCTGGGCAACGACAAGGCAAAGCCTGACGAGAAATCGTCAGACGCCACCCAGAGGGACGGTGAGAACGCTCACCGCAACCGTAGGCGAGGCCACGGAGGGCGGGTTGAGTCCGACAAGCCGCGGGCTGACTCACAGAGTGAGCAGCTTCGCGCGGCGTCGGTCGAGCTGCCAACGAAACCAGACGCGCTGAAAGAGCGCCGCATGTCTGTGAAGCGTCGGAATGAGCTCCTCGCGAAAGGAGCTTGCTTTACCTGTGGAGAAATCGGGCATCTGGCCCGAGACTGCC